CTATGGAATATTGAGACTATTTCAGGATTTTATTCTGTCAACGGTCTTGATACCGCCGAAAGATCGTCGCAAATAAACGCTGGTGTTGTGCACGTTAGTTTGACAGTGGTTCATTGTCGGTAATATTTAACGAGGTTTCGATTGTACAAATTTCATAAAAATTGGTAAGTATCAAGTTAGAAAAGAAATACACACGTCCACATAAATTTTATTGGTGTCCATAGACAATATCATTAATCTGTACTACGTATAAATAGAGCGTAATTTTTAAAAGCTCCGAATGTTGGAAAATTTATGCGCTGATGAAAAAAATCAAATACCAGATAATAGTTGTTTATTTTATCTGAATTATGTCAAAATTTCATGGAATTCCATGCTACAGCAGGCAGTACGTAGTCGTTTATATGACCGGTATTCGACACGGCGTAGCGGTACTTGGCAGACGTGATGCGTACATTTTTTGGAGAGAAAAAGCGGATTTTGTAACATTCCTAATTCATGACTGCAACGTTTTGATAACAGCTAAACTCAGGGTAGTTGTCTACATATAGAAATCTCGTATATTTGTTTTCCTAGAATGTTCTCGATCTATATTCTGCGATATAAATAGAATTTAATATTCAAGTCTTCAGAAATATAGAATATATATTGTTGAATAAATTGCATAGATTTCCAACTTTTATGAATTTATTGTATTGCATTGACAAAAATATTTGTCCGACCCGTTTCAACACAGTTTGAGTCATATCCGGCCCGCGGTCAAAAAAGTTTGGTGACCCCTGATCTACTGAATAGAGTTTAGCGAAAATGAGTAATTTTTTCAGCATTTCAAAGTAAACCCTGGCAGAGAAGGAGGAAGAAGAGTTTTGCCTTTACCTTTTGCCTTTATTCTTTAGACCAGGGGTCGGCAAACTTTTGTCGTTCGCGGGCAAAAATTAAAGGGCACATATTTTTAGAATGTTGAAAACCGAGGGAATTACCAATGAATTACATTTTGTCAAACAGATTTATTTCAGTCAAATTTCAAGAAAAAACTGATCATTTGAATATTTTCTGCAACATTTAACCATTTGCACTCGGCATTAACTTTTTTACGTGCTGTTGCCATTTGTCTAATCATAATCAATTTATAGGCTCATTAAACGAGTGATAGTGAATTATATACTTGTTATGTCATAATATAATTTAGTGTCTCAAAACAAATTCTGTTTCGTAAAGAATATAATCGTCATTACAATTGCTTTGTTAATATAATTCAGTGAAGCTTCGTGGGCCGGATTATATTGTTACGCGAGCCGGATCTGGCCCGCGGGCCGTAGTTTGCCGACCCCTGCTTTGTACCTACTTGTTTGCGTCGCGAGATCGTCGAAGGTCACCGAGGTCTCTGACTATTTTATTTTTACTGTAATTGAAGTGTTAGAATTGGTTGTGACGATACAAATATAAAATAGACAGGAAATAAGACGGCGGGTATTTTTGTTTTATGTTTCGACACTTTATACAGGAAGCGAGATTTATTACACTTATCAAATCAAGAACACACATATTTAGAAGCATAAATAATTAATAAACAAACGCTTGCGTTAGGTATATGACTGGGTGGCAACGATACGAACTTTTGGGGTCATCAGGGTCAGTCCACAAGCAGGGTTATTAGATACTGTTTACGCCTCAACTTCTGTTTGTGCATGATTGTACAGGAAAGTTTCAGGAATCTAAGACGCTTTGCACAAAGGTTATGTTCTCTTAGAATATGTAATAATATATGTCAAAACACATGATAGATGTATTTATGTTTATTCGTCTCGTAATAATGAGAAATAAATAATTTGACAATCATTATCATCATTATTATCTATCACAACTTAGCTTTTCTTATGCTAACTGTGCATTTGAGTAGAATTCAAAGACAAACCCACTGCATTGACGTATCCACGTAAGATTAAGTTAATCAAGACTTGTCAAAACCTGAAAATAAAGACCAAATGAAACATTATATACAAGATAGATGGAATATACAATATAAACAAAACATATCAGGACTATACTATAAAAGAATATTTCCGGAAATAATACCAAATTACTTGAAAAAAATAAAAGAATCAAGAATACAAACAAGAAATATTTTTAGACTTCAAACAGGACATGGTATGCTGAATAAACATCTTTCAAAATTCAATAAAAATGTAGATGAAATATGCGACCAATGCAACAGGGAAGTCGAAGATACTGAACATTTTTTAATACACTGTCCAAAATATGAACAATATCGAACCAACATTCGAAATCTTTGCAGAAGACAAAATGTACCATTTCATGTGAAAACATACTATATGAGGTGAAGTTTAGAAATCCCATAAATTGGTTCATTATTCAAACTGGAAGAAACTTTGAACAAATTACTATACTTACCTTTTTTTTTGTGCCAAATAAATTCCAATGCCATATATGCCTATACTTACCAATCTGAGAATCGAAACAAAACTGACAGCACAACTGAGTTGTTGACAAGCAGGTTCACGCCATGACGACAAAAAATGGCTGTAGCGAATTGGTAAAGTGTGTGCAATTTTACTGCAATAGAATAGTGCAAAGAGCATATATATATATATTCATTGAATAGTGTGAAGTGTTTTTTTTTCACAACATTTGAGTGACAGATTTTCCATTGTTCAGCACGAAATGCTATTTTGCGAAGTGCTTTTTATTTCTCCTTTTAAATAAAATAAAAATAATAAAAAAAATAATCAGTTCTTGTTTTCATTAGATATGAAATACACTTAATGAGTAAAGAATGTAAAAAGCGAGTTAAGTTGAACAAGCGAGTGCGAGTTAAGTTGAACAAACAAGGCCAGCAAAAAAGTGTGGATACAAGGTAAAGGGCGCACAGCGTTTCTTTTACGTAACTGTTCGAAACGCTCCTTCTAACAACACAACTTGAGTGAATTTATTTTTAGAACATTTTCATTTATCTGCATACCTAGTAAATCGTATTGGAATGCTCACGTTCAAGTTATACTATCTAAATGTAAGAGAAGAAAAAAAGATCTTTGATTGTTTGTCCCACAAACCTGAACCAAGTATGTGTATCAGATTAAAGCTCAGGTTGTGCGCCATCTTGGTGCACATACTTCCGAAGCGCCGTTTATATTTGAGTGTGCACGTTTGGGGTATTTGAATTAAATTGCAGATTTCCAGTGTGAGGTAAATTTGCACTTAAAGGCGAAAGCAACTACAAGTTTATACAGTGCTCCCCAAGTAAGTTCATCAAGATGGCGCACAACCTGAACCAAGTATGTGTACCAGAATAAAGCTCAGGTTGTGCGCCATCTTGGTGCACATACTCCCGAAGCGCCGTTTATACTTGTGTGTGCACGTTCGGGGTATTTGAATTAAATTGCAGATTTCCAGTATCCCGATATGCCGTCATTCCCGCATTTTAGATAAATTTTCACGTACATACACCCCCAGGCGTATATTTACCATTGCTTTCGCTTTCTAGAGCAATTTCCCCTAAACATACCCCAAAATGAATATTTCCTGTACCTTAAACCGATTTCCCGTCATTCCAGCTCTTTGTGCAATTTCCCGCTTCTTAGTAAAATTTCCCGTTGTTCCCGCATTTTAGTTTTTGTAATTTCCCGTCGTTCCCGCAGTTCCCGCATTTCAGTGCATTTCCCGTCGTTCCCGAATCCCGCATTTTAGGGTTGCCCCTATACTTCAATATAAAACGACAACGGCTCATTCAATGTAATTAACAACAACTTCGCATTCCCTCTTCGAAACCTCCTTTGTTTGTTGACACCCACCTCGTTATATTCTCTTAACGAGAAGAGGTAATGTCCAAATAACCATCTCCATTTGTTTCATAAAAAGTATATTGACAATAACACTAAATGATATGTGTCCAAACTGGGGCATTTATGTAACCAAAAAACGAGAATATCGGTTAGAGACTGAAGACTTATCGATCGAACATTAGGGGATCCCCAAAACAGCGCTCTTACTCCATAGTGACACCTTGTGTCCCATCACTAATTAATTAATAACTCGCTAATTATACGACATAATTTGCCCAAAATCAATAGGCTTCTGGTCCGAGATAAGATGAATGCACATGCAAAATCTGGAGCAGATTAAATCTCGCTTTCGTGAGATATCGCGTGCATCAAACAGACAGACACATACCTATCAACATACTTACTGATTAAAATCGATAAGTGATGAACCGATGAGCAGTATCTCTGGTATTTTTTTATTGGGTTTTTGTCCAGGTGTAACCGGTTTTGAAAATTATTTTATATCTGGATGTAATCTTTTTGTCACTGATTTTAAACATCATTCAAAGTAATTATTTTCATTAACAATTGAGCTTGAGCCACTTTTGGCCAGTTTCATGTCGTTTTCAAATTAAGATCAAATATGAGCAAAATGCAATATTTTTCATACTGTTGTTACCAATATTGATTTACCACTTCAGCATAACTGACTGAATTTATAGCATAATAAAAAGTCAACATTGCCCACGCTCTTTTCACCAATATACAGTATATCAGAGATAATTTATTTGCAGTCATCAAGCCTGATTTGGGAAAAAAGGTCTTGTTAATACAGGACCGTGCATGTTGTCACATATATTATAAAAAGCTGGGGCTACTAAGGTTAATGATTAAACTGTATGTGTATAGCCGGCTGAATTTTTCTTATTGTCAGCAGAATATATAGTTTTATTGGGATACCTTCAAAGAGCATATAGAAAAAAAGGACACAGTTTAATTCAAGAAAGTAGAATGCTTAAATAGAAAAATACCACATTGCTAAATGTAGTTTAAAATATTTCTTATTCAAGTCAAATGTGAATTACTAAATTTTGAAAGTTATGGGCACACTGTATGTTTAAAGCAGTTCGTAAGCCGTTTATTTTTTATGGATTTAACATTATATAGTGGCTCATTCTTATTATAGTTACATTTTAAAATGTCTACTCTTTCTATATTTACAGATAATACAAGATACAGTTTTTAAAATTTTGCGAATATTATTCAGAATAGTTCGATAGTTTGAATTAAAGAGAAGAAAATTTCTAAACCAGCTTGAACAAATATAGCTGAAATGGGTGAGTTACAACTTTGCTATCGTTCAGTGATTATGATTACATAACTGAGCTTGGCCCAAATAATGGCGCAAGTCATTTGTAGCTTTTGTGAAACCCATGAGGATATATGCATTTGCAAAACACGTATATAGTTACTTTTGCAAAAGCTTATTCTCTAGCAATAAATGATTAGAAAGCAGCAGCAGCGCAAGGAACAAAGAGGGTAGTAAAACCTTGGCATGCCAGAAAATTATTATTTCTGTATTTGAATAATAAAAACCGGAAAATAAAATTGCAGTAATATTTGATTGTTGTGGCCTTCAAAATCTTGATCAAGCAATATGTGACCCTCATTCATTCTGTCTAACTTATGACTATTCTGTAACTATATTTTTACGACATCTTATATGCCTTTCACCCAGAATAAGGCTTTGTAGCAGTGATTTCTTTTTTAATTTTTATTATTACACTCTTGCAATCTCCTCTCCTCCTCCACTGGTAGAAAATTACTGTAATGCGACAATTGAATTATATCTGTATCAAAAGTATCCAACTCGTAGGAATCTGAATCATAAGGTTTTTACACTCAGTCAGTAGATGTGACTTGAAAGCTTTCTGCTTTGTCTTAATATTGGTATGGACTGTCTGGCACTATTTTATATGTCAAGTAAATTTAACCCATATTTCAGATGAATGCAAAGATGATGACAAAATTGAGGATGTGGAACGTTCAAACACTTTCACGAAAACATCCAAAAAAAATGATCTTTCTGTGTTGGACAAAGATGGAGTGAACAACAAATCCCCAGACATAAAAGATATTTCACACACTGTTTCAGGTTAGAAATTGACCTTTATTTTTAATTAGGGAAAAGGTATTTTGAAAGGTCTTCCCATATGGTAAATCCCAAACTGTTGTCGAATTTCCAACTTTTACCAATGTTTATGAACTAGTGATATCATGATTTGATTGTGTTGCACTTGTTTTCTAGTAAAAAAATTCCTGTGTTGTAATGATCCAAACTGCTGTAAATGCCAAGATTTTTTGGTGTTCCACAAGTACGATATGTGAACCAAGATGGCGGACGCCATAACGTGGTATGTGTACCTGGTTAGGGTTAGGCCATATTTCAGGTACAAATACTATTGGAGTCACGTGGCTAGTCCCCAAACTCATAATAGAACTAAAATAAGGAAAATTGGAATAAAATTATGGCCTAACCCTAACCTGGTATACATACTACGTTCCGATGTTTGCCATCTTGGTTCACATACTTCGGGAGCACAGAGAAATGCTTTATCGTAAATGGGATTAGTGAGTTTTATATTTGTAAATATAAATAATATTTAAATTTATTCAATGATTCATTCAAATATCATCTAATACAGATGTACCCGATTCCTTACCTCCACCATCGATTGCACAGCTTAGAGATGAAGAGATAACATCTAACATTCAGCCTATCCTGCGTGTTTGCAAACCAGCTTGTGATGTTCCATCTTCTGAAACTGATTCTTCTTCAGAAGGTCACATTTTGCAAACAGAAGCAGGATGTAAGTTCAAGCAATTTATGGACATAGGAAAAAAATGAATGTTTTGTTGAAGCTATTTTTTCTGGGGCAGCATAGTTGAAATTGAATATATACTATTCAAGTGCTATTTCGAACTCTTCTTTTAATATATCTAAGGTTGTATCAGCCCAAGTACCTCCTGCTAGAAGGAGCCTATAAGACTTGAATCCATTGTCTTTTAAGTATTGTATTCAGATTTGATGAGCGACTGGGCTTGAAAAATTTCATTTCAGCTACTATTTTTTCAAATGCATGATTGATACGTCAAGTATAATAAAGCTTTCACTGTAATGCACATTATGTATTTTATTATTTACATTCCAGGTATGGATCAAAACGAAATCCAATCCACAAGTTTGGAATCTCCAGGTACATCCATGGCCAGACTGAGCAGCAAGGATGTTTCTTTCAAAGAGAAGAATGACAACAAAGATGTAAAAGTCACTTCATCAAATGATTCAGGTTCATAATTTCAAATGACTAATTTTGGTGCTCATGTGAAAATTAAAATTTTATAATTTTAGTAGTAACACTTAAATCTACAAGTGTTCAGATCAACTTGTGCAAAATTGATATTGCGCTGGTAATTGAAGAAATATTTAACTGAAGAATTTTTTTAAATGTCACATGATAACATATAAGATTTGGACTGTCAAACAGATTATTTGATACAAGCTTTATCAATTCAGGGTTCAAAACAAATAAAAATGCTAATAGAGGCATCATCTGAAAAGCCGTAAAAAGCACCAGTTTGACTATTAGATTGACTAACAAAGTGACAAACTAGTCTCTGCCACCTGGTGAACAGCTCTTCTTCGTTAGATCTAGTCTGAAATTATTTGAGACATGATACTTATTACTTACGATAATCATGCTATTCCCATCCTGATGTCTTTCTATGAGTTCTATTTTTATTTAAAGTAATGGACCTTGTTTGAGACTTATGATTGAATTTAATTAATCTTACTTAAAACCATGGCTGCCTCTCAACTGAAGGCTAGTCCAGAGGATACTGACTGACAATTTACGGTAATAGCATCTGAATGGGTATTGGAGAGTTAACCTATCACCATTTACGTGACTCACCCTGTCAGAGTGAGTGAGCAATCCTTTAAGTCAGGGATGTGCAGCCCTTCATACAGGAGGGCCAAATACAAATAACTGGGTGAAACCGTGGATTGCTCCTTTATTTAACATAGGCTTTTTAGTAGTTGCATAGGCTTTTCGCAGTCCGCACAATTATTCTATATAGGCCACATTTGGCCTGTGGGCTGCAGGATGCGCACACTTGCTTCAACACATAATCATACTATGAAAATGTGATTTCACGAAGGGTAAATGGTATGGAAATGTCAAGTATATTTTTAATGCTTTAGTTTTATGTTCCAACTGACAAGGTTATAATTTATTGTGAAATTTGACTCCGAATATCTTAAGATTAAAATTTATGTATTCACAATATAGATGGATCATCATCATCAGATGATGAATGGTGTACTCCTCGAGGTTCAGAAGCATCTTTGACATCAAATAAAGCAGCGATCTCTAGTCAAGAAACAGATTCAGATGCATCCATTGGTATTTAAAATTTCATTCTTTCATTGTCTATGGTAATAGTAATTTTATAATAGTATAATCTTACTGGTATCGTAAGTTTGATTTATTTTATTTTATTTGATGTAGTTTGTGGCGGTTATTACTTATCGATCTTGATCGGTAAGTATGTTGATAGGTATTTGTCTGTTAGACGCTTTCGTATGTTAGGCGATATCTCACGAAAGCGAGGTTGAATCTGCTCCAAATTTTGCACGTGCATTCATCATATTTCGGACCAGAAGCATATTGATTTTGGATGAATTATTTGTATAATTAGCGAGTTATTAAATGATTAGTGATGGGACATGCGGTGTCGCTATTGAGTCAGAGCGAAGAATACACGCCGCTAAATCGATAAGTCAGCGGTCTCTGATAGCTATCTTGTTCATTTTCCATTGCTAATGCAGTAATAGGCAACAACTGTTCATCTCTTTTTAAACTAAAAATAGGAAATGTTGTAAATGTGGTTCATATTCCTTGTAGGAGGAAGCAAATTGAGCAACTTAGTCAAATGCAAACTCGGCTTTGCTTTTTTATGATTTACTTAGACTCAAGAATATAATTGCATTTGGATTAACTGTTAATATTCTAGTGTGGCGTAACCTACTTAATTTAATATATCATGGGTTCAGGAGATGTACCGTACAAAATTAATACAAGCAGTTCATTATAAAAATGTTGCTGTGGAAGATAAAAAAAAACTTAGGAATCAGCTCTCAGATGAGAACTTGCAAAGTTACCTTTTACTTGCTAAAAATTAATGAGTGCTTAAATGATCCAACATGTAGAATTAATGTATTTATACGTTTTGGCCTATTTCAATAAACAGTTGCCCACTCCTGCTATACAGTATACACTATCCTGTATATTTTTCCTATAGTTGTTGGTATTGTTTAGAGTTGTAGCTGAAATACTTTTTGCTTCTGCCTGAAATTGACATGTTTCTTGTAATAATATAGTCTCTAATTTTAGCAGATGAAGTGGAAAGAATTGAAGATGTTTTCTACAAAATATCCAAGAGATTTTCCTCAAAGCTTTTCAAAGTTTTTGCTCAGGCTGGAACTGGACTTGCATTGAGCATGGATGAAGTAACATCTATAATAGAAGATAACCAAGAATCAATTGAAGAACAGAAAATACAAATGTTATGGCTTTGGAAAGAAAAAAATGGTGGGTTTTTAAAATGACAGTATCTTTTCGAATAAATCCAATTTTGTCTATCGAAATATTGTCTATTGCAGCGGTTCCCAAACTATGGGTCGCGACCCACTGGTGGGTCGCAAAAGGAATCTTAGTGAAAAGATGTAGAAAGCTTTGATTAATTATACTGGTTATTAGGATCGGTGGCGACTCGAATACGTAAATCTTCAAAAAAAACAAAATGAATTAAATTGAAAACAAATTCTAATCTGTCAAAGTTTCCTTTTTACGATCTTCTCAAAAGAACAAAAATTTGTTACACAATAAATGACCAAGTGGCTTTTTTACGCATAGCAGTTTTATGCACTGTACAGCACTTCTTACCGTGTTTCCTCGAAATTTAGACAGGATTTAGATTTATTTTCTTTGAAGAATAACACTATGGTTTTTTTTTGGAAGAGGTCTTTTGAGTTCATTTATCAAAAATAAAATTACATTGTAGAAAATCACGAGATTTTTTAATAAACATTATATAAAAACCGACATCCATTGTTTTTATTTGTATTTCCTATACAAAAATCAAGTGGCAAATATCATAATTGTGATTGTGACATCACACAATCTTGAATAGTGGTGCGATCTTCACTTTACCTCAGGTCATTGAAAATTTCCTCTCCCACACATTTTAAATTCATTTTAAGGGTAGGGTTTAATCAAAATCATTTTTAAAATTCATATTAGGTTTTATTTTCAGGCCAGGTCTTATTTTCGAGGAAATACGGTAGTTTCACGATAATTGACCATTGCTGTGTTCTGTATTATGTCATAAAAAATTTAAATGGGTCGCCATAAGCTGTGGTAATGAATAGTGGGTTTCAACCCTAAAAAGTTTGGGAACCACTGGTCTATTGGATAAATAACATAGCGGATTTTACGGATAAATCGAAGATAGGCAGTAATTGTACATAAATGAATGCAAAATCAGAGCGTGTTTGAATTTCACTAGGTGATAAATTTGCGACAAGGAATAGTTTATCGCAGAGCTTTACCCGAAATTATTATGATCCATTCAGGACAACCTCGATATGGCGCCGAATTAATCCTATCTCCATTTCTGTAAAATAAAACAATTGGCAAACGATTTTATTCGCATTTCAGCGCAGTTTAAAGTTTGAGAACAAATTGCTTGAACTACCAACGTTTATGGGGTATATTATCATCTTTCGGATTTTCAAAGTTATTTTTTATCAGTTTTCGCCGGTTCACCCGCAAAACTTATACAACAAAAACCATCTGCTCTTTCTGCCGCCAACGCCATTGTGACAAAACAATAATTATACCCACATGGTTATTGATATCTAAGGTTTCATCACAATGTTCATATTCTATAACCTTGCAAGAATTAGCTTCCGCTTTATAACGTTACGGTTTGGCTTCTAATTTCAACCGTTCAGTACGATGGGGTTCGGCGGGAGCTTGCAGAATAGCGCAGGGGTTCGGCAGGCTCACAAAAGTTAAGAACCACTGCTTTAAAGTGTTTTGCCCATTTTATAACTTTTTACGTATAACACATTATTCATATCAGGGGTGTGCAAGCTACGGCCGGTGGGCCAAATGCAGCCCACAATAAACAATTATGTGCCCCTCAAAGAAGTGCCAATTTGAATGATGTGAGGTCTGCGAAACGAGTTTTTAATTCAGTTTAATCTGGTACGTACCAGTGATTCCAATCCATCAGATCCATATTTTTCAAATTCTTCATTAAGGCCTACGGTTTGAGGATATCTTCATGGAAGTTCTCCGAAGATTTGCAAATTCTTCCCAATTCAAAAGATTTGCAATGTCAAAATATGGCTTGTCATTAAGTTCTTATGAGGTTGGAAATATTATTGAAGATTCTAAATCAGTTGAGGAAAGAAACCTTGAGATGCTTTGGCTTTGGAAGCATAAGAATGGTAGGCTTTGGTATTTACAGAATTTTGAGTGCACTTCAATATTCACAATTCTTAAATTAAATATAAAAAATATTTCTTTCTGAATAATATTATTTCACCAACGTCGAAGAATTCTAATACTAACATACTAACATTACTCAGTTTTATATATTAGTGTATGATTGGTGTATTGGTGAATGAACATGTATATTGCCTTATATTATTTTCTTACTGAAGTGCTAGGAATACTGTTGTCTTTACTTGTTGCAGATCAGTAACATCACTATACATGTTCTTGAAATAATAATAATAAAAATGTTGTGATATTTTTTGTTATGTTGTATATTGGAAACATTGCTTTTTACATTTTTTTTATTCAAACCGTTTTCAGAAGAAATTGCAACTACACAAAGAGTTCAAAAACTCGTTGATGATTTTTTGAACGAAAGTAGCGACGATGAATCTGAGGAGGGTAAGAAAAATTAACATTATGTAATTTGGGAATCTATTGGTTTTGAGCCAAAAATGTGTGGTGACTGTATATTTTGGTGTGTCGTTCCATGCGTTAGTTGAGAGCAAATACTTTTCCTAATACATAAGAATCTTCCCATTTTTTTAAATTCAGTATCTGGTGCTTTGTCAAAGCATGTGGTAAATTCTAAGTTGCAAAATGACTTTTGAAGAGGATAGAAGTAAATATATTTTTACTACCAATTATAAATTTCATATGACTCCAGCACTACCATATGAAGGATCAGTAATTGGTATACTCATGATGCAAGCCAAATTCCTCTCCGTACGACGCCTGCATGAAAATCTTTTTTTTGACTAGATGAACCGGGTGCATGTGGTGGTGTTCCTCTATTTGAACCCCAGTCAACACGCGTGCCAGAATTCAATAAAGCAACAGAACACAATATTTCAACAGTTAATACCACAGAAAAACAAACTGATGAAAAAAAAGATATGAAGACACATGAGAGTAATGAGTCTGGTGAGCATCAATTTTGACATTATCAGTCAAAGAATCTCTCTCATTAATCTTCAAAGAGTGATTTTTTAGAGCAAAAGATTTGTGTTTATTTATTGCTTTTCTAGTTTGATTTGATAAAAATTTTATTGTGCAAATATGGGTGGCTCAAACTTTTGTTCTCTTATCATCGATCTAGTTCAATGTTCTGAATGCGAACTCCATTTGAGTAAGAATTTTCAAAAATATATAAATTAGAGCTATTTTAGTATTTGGGATTTTTTTATCAAATATTTAGTGTCAAAGATACCATTCAATCTCAAATTGTCTCTAGATGACAGATACTCTCTATAGCAAATTTGAAAAATCAAAGGTTTACTTTTTTGAGTGTACAAACAAACATCAGTTGTTAGCTTAGTTGCGAAGTTTCATATGCTAGAAATGATGAATGAAGGATTTTCTGAAATATTGTTTTGGCATAAATAGCAATTTAATTGTCATGCCATCATGCATTTTTAAAATACTTCACTTCTTTCCAGATGAAGTCAATGAATTTAAAAGAATCGTTAATTTATCAACCAAGAACACCGTGACTTATTCTTTTAAAAGAAAAAATCTAGCGACTATAGATTTTGATGTCAGCCCAGAAACTAGAAAAATTGATTTTTATGGAACAACAGTTAAAGAAACAGAATACAAGCCAGAGCTTGGTTTCAGTCAACAAACACAACATCAGCCTGGCCTTGGATGCAAACGTGAGAATTTTTTTCAAAGCCCTGTTGAAGCTGCTATACATCGAGTTGTTATTATTGGTGGTGCAGGATATGGCAAAACAGAAATGCTGAACGGATATGCTGGAGATGTTATGGACCAAAATATTCCACTCCTAGCAAAAGTTGAAGTCGTTCTTCATAGAAACTTTAGAGACTTAGAAGTACATGGAAAAATAAGTCCTGGAAAATTTTTATTTGGACACCTGGACATGAGTGATGACATAACTGAAGTTGGTGTTGATTGGATTAGAAAAAATCCTTCAAAGTTTCTCCTTGTTCTTGATGGGGCTGATCAGTATTCATTACCTGATCAACTTGGAAAACACAGTAGAAATATAAACCATACCCAAGAAGCTGATCCTAAGCTTATTCTTAATAGCATCTTATCTGGTGACTTGTTTCCAGGCATTTACATTCTTTACTCTTCCCGTGAGCATGCCATTCGTTTCTTCGAAGGGAAAACACGTGCACAAAAAGTTATTGCCTTAGCAGGATTCAATAAAGAAAATGTGGAAAAACTTGTTCGAGGTTTCAGTGGTGAACGAACAGATGAAATCATGAGCCATCTTGAAATGAATTCTCCTCAATTACTTTCACTTTGCTCTATTCCAATGTTTTTGATTTTTACTGTGACTATTCTTCTAAGATACAAAGATAAAAAACCAGAAACATTAACTGAAGTTCTCATGCTTGTGCTACAAGATTCTTTTAAATCAGAACATATCACAATCGATCAAAGCAAAACAGGTTTAACAATCTATGATGTCATGAACAAGTTGAAGGAAATGTCATATAACGGTACTAAGAATAAAAGAGTAACTTTCACAAAATCGGATTTACCCAATGGACTAACGGCAGAGCATTTCAAAGACATTCTCATAACAATTCCTGGCTCGGTAGGAGAAAACCAGAAGCTGGTTGAAGGACATTTTATATTTCTGATGCAACATCAGTCTTTGCAAGAAGCCCTTACAGCCCTTTTTATTGCTGAAATGTCTTTGCGCAAATTCAAAAGGTTCGTTTCTGATCAATTATATGAACCACACTGGGTAGTTGTCCGCAGAATTTTATTTGGAGTTATTGTTAATCCTAAAACTTCAAAACTTGCTGCTGGAATTGATTCAAAAGTTGGAATTTTTCAAGGTTAGTTAGTCTTAAGTAATTAAACCAAATGTTCCCATGTTGCATTGGTGCTCAATTGAGTATAAAATGGTGAAAACAAACTCATAGGCAAAAATATCACACAAACAAAACTATTTTATTGTTCCTGGGAAACATGTAAATCTATATTTCTGAATGAGTTATGTAATTTGGTGACTTTGCTGAACTAAAAGGCTGTATTGATTTTAATCTTTTCATCAAGTATTTAATTTACAGATGTAAGCTGCTGCTTTTCCAGAGTGAATATTTGAAAATGACTGATAAAATTACGTATATTTTATGCTGTATAAGACAGTTGTCATTGCAGCATGTATTAAAGACATTCTTGTATTTTCATTTGTAGGCAGAAATGTGGAAGAAAAAAAGCAAATTTTATTGTCAAGTATCAAACAATTGGCTAAACCAGGATGGTTTAAACGAAAATACAAAAAAATTAAAAGAGTACAAGACGAAGAGCTTGTTGAGCTCATTCACACGGTCAATGAATGTGGTGAAGCAGCTAAAAACGTCATAAAATCATCTTTCCAAAAAATCAATATTTTAGATTCGTTTCTCACGAGAAGTGATGTTTTTGCCTTGTCATCCGTTGTAGGTCGTTGCTCATTTATACAGGAATTAAAGGTTCATTTATCAATTGATGATCTTGAAGTTATGTGCTCTGTCTTCGAACGATGCAATGTCAAGGTAAATTAAACAATGGGAAAGTTCCTAATATACAAGGTGTTAAAATGTAACGCAAAATTTTACGTCATTGCAACAAATCATGTCGGAGGAAGCGATTCCAACTGAACTCTTAACATAGAAAGCTAATTCATCATACTTGACTTTCAACAAACTCAGTTTTAGAATCTTCTTTCTAAATTCTGATTACCATAGCCTTGCATATCAAAGAAAGGTTTGTTTTGGTGAGAAGAACTACTTATCAAGAAACAATGCATCAGAAGCCACAAGGTGGTGAGAACCCACCTCATAATTCTACACTAATGTGACTTATTTGTAAATCTGAAAAAAGCGTTTCTGTTGCTTAGGAAGCGCTGCGAACAGGGTTAGAATCTGCGCGGGAATATGTTATCGTTTTTCAAGTCCAACGCTTCAACCACTCGGCCATTATGCTGTGCTCTCTCTCCTCTCTCCCTTCGTATTTCTAGGGCGAGAGAGATGAAACACACAAACGAATAATGTAATTCATATTTAAAATCAGTTCAATGCGAATAATAGAATAAATAAAACCTTTAAAGATTAAATTTTGGGTTACTTTTTTACCTTTTTAAGATTAAATTTTGCGTTCCTTTTTTCTTAACTTTCAAGAAATAAATTTTGCGTTACTTTTGTAACACCCTGTTTTTAAAAAAACTATTTGAAGAGCATTTGTTTGCCAAACTTTGAATTTTGTACATCATATTCACAATTAGGAATGTACGAAGTCATCTCATGACTAAAATGATGTGTGATCAATATTTTATTAGCATTTTCCAAAGACCATTTTCATTAACTTTCACAAAATAAAATATAGAGAACAATTAATAATAATTTAATATTTATAATTTATATTGCAAATAGTCAGATTAATAACCCGTGCTTAGTATTGAACTACTATATATTACCTGCAGAATGCATTTTGTTTATAACAGATCAAAAGAATGATTTTGCAAACAAACCTGGTAAGTGTACGATATATATTTTTCAAACCTAACATGGTTTGCTCTGTGTTATAAATAGTCTTATGAAATACATGATGTCTTGTTCTTTGCCACTGGTAACAATATCCAACATGGATCAATAATTTTTCCTGAGGCACAGTAATCATTTATAATGACAGGTAAATACATCTGTTTCTGAATATGATCACAGAAACATTGTACATTTTTATTGCCTAATTTAAACTAGATCAAAACTATGAATATGATTGCTACAAAGGGGAATGTGATGATACTCAGAATTTTCCACTGCTACTATTTTGTCTAGTGTTAGCGTATAATATTCTGAAATCTTTTTGATCCAGGCTACTGGTGTGGTTTTATATGATTATGAAGCCATCCAGATCACCGGATTGCTACCATGTGTTATGGAATTGCTTGTGATCAACTGCTGTATAACATCATGTAAAGAAATGTTTCAAGAAAAACTGAATGCTCTACCTGATTCGGTAAGATAAAAATATTATTTCGGTGGTGCGCCATCTTGGTGCACATACTTCGGGAGCTCCAAAAAAATTATTTAGTAGAATTTATCCAAAGACGAGTATGGTTGGCGTCGGAAATTACCAAACGAAAATAAACCCTAGTTGGATGCATGAACAATTATTTGTTAAATATCCATGGACTTGAGGGGGGAGGAAGGCGTAACCAACCAGTGGTTATGTGAACCATCCTACAGCGGCAAGGAGTTCAGCAATCCTCCTTTTCACATTTTTATCCCTATGGGATTTGGAACTGCGAATCTACTCAGGGTAATAAAAGGAGCGATGGCAAGCGCATTCCTAACGATTAGCCCGATGTGTCAAACCTCCGGGCCATTCCACACTAACATCACCTAACATAAGTTGATACAATAAATTCATATAAAATTAAAGTGGTTAGTGCAGTAATAGCTCGACAGAAAATTGACAAATTATAAGAGTGTTTTGTGCAATAATATTGTCTTCAAAATTATATTATGGCTTTTAGAATCTACAGATCATATCCAATCTGGGTGGACATATTTGGTTGGAACTTCGACCAGGATCTTCTAATGAGATGTTGGACGGAGCCACATATGAGATACTAAAAAAAGATCTTATACTCTTAGAAGACTGAATGTAATGGACAAATACGGTACAGAATTCAATTGGTGTTCGTTCTAAAGAATGCTTTATTCAAGCAGCTAATCAAACCTATAGTGATCAATAAGACTTGATATTTGCATAGTGCAAACTCTCAAAACAGCCTTATCACCTAATATCATGTTCAAAATCTCAAACTTTTATTTGAAAATGTCTTGAGTTATAGAATATCACATGCATGAAATGGAATCACAGATCACAATTTCTTTAGTCTATTTTTCGTTTCAAAGCATTGTATTTAAACTTTTTATAGCCATAACATTTGATACATCAAATACATACGCATGTTTTTGGTCCCATTTTATCTTTAGTTGACCCATGTTATCATGTATAGTACAATACCGACATGTGGTAGCTCATGATATGATGATTATAACAAATTATGCTGTTCCATATGCTTTCTGCCATTATTTATTAATATTCAGGTACAAGATGCAGATGCGTACAAACAGTTCTACATGTGTTATTTGGCATGAAGTTGTCAAGATCAAAGTTACTCTGAAAACAATGCAAAAACCTATCTTGACCAGTGGCGATCTGTTAAGTGCACATACTCCTATCCTGTTGCATCTTTTCCGCTGGTTCATTAATCGGTATTCTGTAATTTTGAGATCTTTACATGCAGCACTGCATCAGGACTGACCCTAGTCCTGGTACTCTATTTTTATGAAATTTATGTTTTAATTCCACTACCATCCTGCTCCTCTGTTATTTCAGATTTCTGTGGTCGTTATATAAGTCTGTAAAATATTGTTTTGCAATCAGCATTATATGAGAAAAAAATACACACTCTAGTTCTTACATAACCCTAAAATCATTTTTGGTTTATGCAACTTCGATGGGCAACCGATGTAACTGAGAAGGGGACAGATCAATTGTATTGGTATGCCATAAACGTTGTGACAGCTTTTTGCCAGTAGCTGCATGTCAGTATTTTATAATAGTTCACTTAATGCTGGTTTTATTATCATTTTTTAACACTAAAATGTTGGAATGTTTTGTGCATTAATCCGTAACTTGGCGGGTCAGTGGTCCCATACCACTACACTACACTACATTTATTCCTATAACGTTTTTTACTTCGATGTGATGTCTTATTAATCTTTTTTTTAATTTGAATATTTTAATTAATGTCACAGTGATTAGCATCCCGTTTGATTATCTTGTATATTTGTTTTGAACAATAATTAAAACATTAATAATATAATATCCATGCAAATATATTGAGTCATCGGCGAAGTTGAATATGTTTGCTGGGGAGCTAAGTGAAAGTAGGTGATACCAGATGTGTTACCTGAATGCTCCCAAATCGATTGGGTAATTGAATATCTAAGTCAGGAGTCGGCAACCTTTTGTCGCTCGCGGGCCGAAATTAAGGGTTGCAAGTCATTGGCGGGCCGGACATATTTTTAGAAATTTAAAACCGAAAGATTATTCTTTTTAAAATAGAAATCAAGCACTGACACATCTCTCCAATAGAATATAGATTTATTTACTCATTGCATCGCATCTCAAAAATTTCCATTTGAATATTTTCTGCGTCATTGAATTATTTGTCTAATTATAATTAATTTATAGGCTCATTAAACGAGTAATTGTGAGTTATATACTTATTAGGTTTTAATATAATTTAGTCCACACGTGTCTCACAATGAATTATGTTACGTAAAGAATAAAAATCGCCAAAACAGCTGTTTTGTTAATATAATTCGATGAAGCGTCGCGTGCCGGATTATACTACTCCGCGGCCCGTAGGTTGCCGACCTCTGATCTAAGTCATTAGTTAGCAACCAGTATGCTTCCCAGCTTTTCATTTTAGGGGAGGGGGGAGGGTGTGTTTCCAAATTTGGAGGTTTTCACCTCCCATAAGGGTTGGTACAAGGAAATCACCGCTCCCAACCGTCGAAAATTTTGTTGTTTTCTCTGCCGGCAAAACTACTTGTTTGAGGAAATGACGATGTTGCGTTGGATTATTAAGCGATTTCTCATCCGTCGTGAAATTGCTTGTGAAATGCTTGGTAAGTATTAAGTTAATTGCACCGGCGATTTATTGGCCGCCGGATTTATTGATTCCGAATATTCATTATATTGCATAATGTATATGAGACTGACTGACGAGTTTTTGCGAGTAAATGGTTTTAAAAAGGGTCAACTGTGGGAGAGTCGTCTTGTTCCCTTCGGGTTATCCAGGCCAGCGGCGTGGCTTATCGTGCTAAGCGTTAGGAATACCTTCGTCTGATTACCCTGCGCAGTATGTTCCCCAGCTTTTCTCTTTAGGGGGGGTGTTTCAAAATTTAGGGGGTGGTAAATAATTTGCTATTAGAGATAAAACTAGGCTATTTGTATTCTTAAAAAAATGGTATGTATTTAAGAAATGATGTACATGGGGGGCCCCCCAAGTTGATTGACGGCGAGCCAAAATCCACAGCAGAATGAAATTGTAGGGCCAGAAAAGGGGAGCGAGGAAAAATGCGGGACGACACGGCTGGGGTTCAGGGCGCGCTTAAGCGCCCTGAGAAAATTTTGAGAAATAGGCACCAAAATAGGCTCTAAGCTTGATTTTAGATACACCTAGCATCGCAGTTTGTTATGTAATAAAATCAATAATTATAATATTTAGCTGATAGAGTTCTCGGGGAATAGATAACAAGCACGGCTTTCAACCGTAAATATATACTACTACGTTTCAACAAGTAATTTGCAACTGATAGTGACTAATGAAGTTACTTGCTCATCTGGCATTGTATGAATGGCTACTTATGGCTTGTTTTGTTACACATTTCTAATTTTTTTGAACTTGTTTGTTTGATTATTGTATGAATTAAATTTTGAAATACGCTCGTCAACTGATCATAATGTCGCATAATGTTGTATTCCTTCAGAACTGAAATATTTTGTAAGAAGACAAATCGCTGAAGTTTGATTCTCTCAATAAAGAAATAAAAACGCTATTCATCTAAAAAAAGTCTGTTTTCAGTGCCTAGTTTTCGTTTTGTGACATCTTTAAGCTTTCTTAATATATGGCTGATATCTAAAATACTGCAGTGTGTAATCATAATACCCATACCTATAAATAATTCAATTGTTACGAAATAAACGTGCTTAAAATGTGATAATGATGTAACAATAGACGGTATCTAAAACTCAAAAGGTACCACATGAAGTGTTAAACTATTTCACTCAAGTTCGGCGGGCCATTTTAAATCGTCACGCGGGCCGTAATTGACCCGCAGACTGCGGTTTAGAACCCCTCAGTGTGGAATCGCACCTCAAAATTAGGGGGGGTGTTTGAAATTTTAGGGGGGGTGTTCACCCCCTATAAGGGGGGTGTAGGGAAATCACTGACCCTGCGTGGGTTCGCAGGTTCGAATCCCAAGCAGTGATGGTTATGTGCGGGAGGATTGCTGGACTCCTCGCCGCCGCAAGGTGATTCACGTAGCCGCTGGTCGGTTACGGCTTCCTCTACCATCAAGTCCATACTTCCGAAAACAAATAACTAACTAATCCCATACCCGACATTGAAATCCAATAATGATGAATGATGGCATGGAATGGTAACTAGACGAGAGGCCGTGGTTCGCCATATGGTCAAGCCCTCTTATCTACTTTCCTCTCCCCTGGAATAAATTTGTAAATCCCATTATATTTGTAGAGGTTTGTACCCAATTCGGCACCATATCATAGGATAGACATATCTCTGGGGATTCAAACCCCCACAAGATTAAACCCTCAACCAGTGTCGGATTTTTTTCATTACCGAAAACTATCTAGCACAGGGATGACCAATCAGGCAGGGACGGAGAGCCACATTTTGTACTATATTAAAGCGAAGAGCCACATAATAAACTAGAACACACATGAACATCAGATATACCTTTATTCAGCTTTATTGCAAAAGTCACATACCAGCATGATTATGACAGAAATTTACAAGCCATTTATCGTTATGCATGCTACTTAGTGGGACTTCTGACATTCCTAAGATTGAACAAACCTCTTTAAATTTGGCTTGTATATCGTTGTAGCCAATCGAGTGCTCAAATTGTTTTACATTTTTCATGATTCTGCGAATATTAATTTTCTGCGCTGACAGGAATTAAAAGCTAAAACGACAAAACGAGACTTGTTTGTTACAACTGACCCAATAAATATTGTTTTAATTTACTGCCGAAAGGCGTAAGGTTTGCGGATAAGAGATTTAAAAAACTTCTGGAAAAGTTTGGGAACCACTGAACTATATAAATTAATACCCGACCAACTATTCACAAAGTTCATTATCAGAATGGAGTATAATCGACTTTCAAGCGAGAGGTAACGTTATGGCAGTGTCATCTCATCCTCAGTATCCCAAACCAAATGACGAGCAGCGTTTTTTTGTACATAACTGCTCAAATCGTTCTTTTCGTATCAACACAACTAGAGTGAATTTGTATTTAGACCGTTTAATATTTCTGCATACCTCTATAATTTATTCCCAGGTAAATTTTATTCGGATACTCACGTTCCGAGTTTACGTCACACCTTCAAAATGTTAGAGAAGAGAAAAGAGCTATTTGTCCTACCACCAGAACGTAGAAAAAACATGAGATCTCCAAGATACCTCACCACATTTTGATATAAAACGATAACGACTTATTTGTTATAGATTAAACAACAAGGAGATTCTCCCACGAAAACGCCGCGCGACCGCCAATTGGTTGTCGCGGCTCGCGGGTTGGAATGGAAATCACTGGCTTATGGTTTATAGTCACTTTGGTTGTAGAGGAAGCCGTAACCGACCAGCGGTTTCGTGAACCACTTCACGGCGGCGAGGATGCAATTGATCCTTCCGCACATAACTCCCCATACCCCCTCTTTAATGGGTCGAAGTAGAAATGAAATATACAATGCTGAATATACAATACATACAATATACAATACATCCCATTTAATTAAACAATTATTTTTTGCCTGTAATAAATAGTTCAGCGCGTTCCCCTTCACCCAATCATTGAAACATCTAATCGCAGTTTTATTTTTTTGTTTTTCAGGTTACTTCAAAGTGATTAAATGAAGTAAAACACATAAGGAAAAAATCAAACAAAGACTCAGATATCCTGTGTAATAACAACCTTATTCCTATATCCTTGTCTGAAATCAATACCCAAGAATGAAAAACCTCACCTACACCCTTTGTAACCAATTTATTTCCATATCCTACTTTACTTAATTATAGTAAAACTTTAATTACTTATTACAATCTGGACTATAATTTGGCAATAATAAGCTCTAATTTGGGGAATGAAATGGTCTCGCCCACCTCTGCATGCACCCAATTCTGGCAACTTTGGCTGGGCAACTTGGCATTTGACTCCAACTATAATCAGCTTGGCGATATGTTTTCAATAGAATCTTCCTTTTATATTTTAATTAACGATTAGAAGATCGATCAATTTAGCAATGGCAACCATTACAAAAATATCAATATGGTGTGGCAAATATTTTTTTTTTCTTTTCTAATATTTATTATTTCTTTTTGTTCACTGTATAGTATACCCTAAATTTATCGCGTTTTATTCTTACTTAAATAACTTCTCAGTGGTTGTGTATGTGTGGCTGGTGGGTGCATGTGAGCGTGTGTGAAATACCTTAATAATTTTAGGTGAGTAAACACGTACCACTTCTTCTTGGCAAAACCTTCCATCTTATATTTTGTACGTCATAAAACTTATCTAAGGTTTCGTTCGCTCCCCTGATTTCATAATCAGTTTTTATTGATTTGTTTCATCTGTCAAATGTATTGTTATGCTGATTATGGAGTCGAAATAAACTTATACTTATGATGGGAGTTATGTTGCATGGTAACATTAAATGGACTGTGATGAATATTATTGTATTCTTGTTTCAACACATATTAAAAAAATAAGGAGTAGAAATGATTAAATGCCGTGCGAAACCTTACTGTGGCTTTCTGTCGCGAATCTCAAAATCCACAGTCCTCAACTTTAATCTAACTGATCACGAGGAGATCGATATGATTAATACCGCAATGAGACGCCATTTCACGCACTGCAGTTTGTCGCGTTATCTGGATAACGTTACGGATTCCCCCATGCATATACAAGACATGATCGTCTGGTCTTGTGATATGATGTCACTAATCATTTTTGTAAAATACGGACCGAGCTCGTTGAAGCTCGTTTACTGTGAGAACAATATGTACGGCAAACCGAAGTCTGAAAATAGTGTTGTAATAGCTGACTAGGGACAGAAAATGCAACAGAACGAGGAATATTAAAACAGGGCGGTACTACCAGTATAACTCCAGAACTCACTTTGACTACTGGACTATGAAATTCTATCCGAAATTTTTCCGTACCGGTACCGTAACTTAACTGCTTAGACCAGTCAGTGGCCTGACGTTTACTTTCTTATAACTTTTTTAGTTTAATCGAGGTATACATATCCTTGATTTAGTTAAGCCCTATTCCCGCTACCGTTAGGAACTGAATTATTTTGTTAGCCTTGAATTTTATTCATATCACATTACCAGTCGAAATATACGGTACCGTATCGGTATGTTCTCTGATTTCAATAATGCCCTTAATACAGTAATAGTTAGATATAGCTTATGCTGTGGTGCAGCTTGGCTGATAATATTTATAACCCAATATTTTTTGTTTTTCCTTGGTTATTCTCATTCAGTACGGTACGGTATATATGAAATTCGTGGATTGCCTAAGCTTACTGGATTAGTCATTTTAGAACTGTTACAGCCCTGCTAAAATGGCAGCTGAAATTAAAACCAAACCAACTCAGCGGAAACCAAATCTCATCGGTCGAATAGAAGATGAGAACCATGATGTTGTTCCTATGTTGGTTCTTACGCCATCTGAAGACGGAGTCATAACAGTGAGTGATGATCGTTCTGTACGTATCTGGCTCAAAAGAGAAACGGGACAATACTGGCCAAGTGTTTGCCATTTTTTAACAGCACCATGTTCTTCAATGTGTTTTTCACCTTCAACAAAGCAACTATTTATTGGCTTACAAAGCGGTTCTGTTGAAGAGTATCGTGTTGCTGAAGATTACAATTCAATTTACCATCAAAGAAAATACGATGCTCATCAAAAACAAGTCACAAGTGTGGTTTTCTGCGTTGAAAAAGAAATTCTTGTAACTTGTGCAAAAGATAGATGGCTTACTTGGTACTGGACACAAAATGGTCAAAAAATGGGAGCTCACCAAGTTGCTTCCGTGCCAATTTGCTTACAGTTTGATGTCAGATCTAATTATGTTTTCTGTGGTCTCTCTAATGGGGAAATCCCTATTTTACAAATTGATAAGAATGACTGCAAATCAATAAATTCTCTGAAAGGACATTCTGGTGCTGTAAATACCTTGTTCTGGGACAGTGCTGCACAAATTCTGTATTCTGGAAGTTCAGATAAATCTATAATCATGTGGGATATAGGAAGCAAAAAAGGGACGGCTTTTGAACTCCAGGGTCATGAGTCAAAGGTCATGTCAATTCATTACTCTGCCAGTACACAACAGTTGGTTTCTATGAGTTACGATGGATCTTTGGTTATTTGGAACATGGATATCAAACGACAAGAAACACCAGTATGGGAAGAAAAAGATCAATGTCAAAAGTGCAAAACCCCCTTTTTCTGGAATTTTCGTCAAATGTGGAACGAAAAAACTGTTGGTCTGAGACAACATCATTGCAGAAAATGTGGCACGGCAGTATGTGCAAAATGTAGCACAAAACGCACAACAATTCCTTTTATGGGCTTTGAATTTGAAGTCAGAGTGTGTGATGCATGTTTCGACTCCATTCCTGAATCAGACAAGGCACCAACTGCAACTTTTCATGAGCTGAAGCATAATGTGGTTGCAGCAACTCCGGACTGGAAGAAACTTTGTCTTGCAACAAGCGGTTCAGATCGTGTTGTGAAAATCTGGGACATGAGTCAGGTTATTCATAAGTAAGATTGATTAACAGCATCTCGGTTGAAGAAGTTATTTGAAGATGACTGATTTAGCACTTGCCATTTCTTTGATTATTTAATAATACTTCAGCGGATGGATCAAATATTAATCATGTTATTTTGAGTTTGGCACCAATGCCATATCGTCGACATGCACTTTCAACGGTTGGAATGTTTCAATTCTGTTGGATTCAGATTGTATCTTTATCATAATCAACATTATTTTTCTCTTGGAGCAGCGTTTCTCAAACTGTATGGCACAAAAAATTTCTTTTTCTTAGTGCGCCGCGAGCAAAAAAAAAATTGAGAACTGCCTTGGAGCATTACTCTGTATATCATACTTTAAAAGTGAGAATCAAGTGAGTTTATCATCGAGCTAATTGTCCATTTGCATCAAATTGTTCAAAATTATGTGTTTTTCATGTATCTCTCACTATATTTATAATAGTTCTCAATATTTTGAAACAAAGCTGTAGACTTGACGCAGGATGTAGTTGGGCATTGTATTCTTTTGTTGTTTGTTTGGCGCTTCAGAAGTGTTTGTACTAATATGGATGTAACTAATTTTGTTTGCCTACTTTACATCAAGTTGGTTATAAAGTCTGAAACAGTCCTCAACTCATAATAAAACTAAAATAAGGAAAATTGGAATGAAAATTATCACCTAACCTAGTACACACACTACGGCAGTACCGTTTGCGGAATATATCAGGATACGTCACGAAAAATTATTGACAAAACTGAATTATGTGTTATTAACAGTTTTTGAGCAATTAGATAATCCTAATTACTGTCATCTTGTAGTGAAATTTCCCATCTTTGTTTTTGAGTCATACTTGATGCTGAATATGAGTAAAATTTTGCATATATTGTGGTCTTGCTGTGATATCAGATTAGTGTGTTTAAAATGAATTTGCATATTGGAATTCTACAATGCAAAAATATTCTAATATGTATATTGGGCTATCCCAAGTGACACTGCAAGACAATTCCAGAAATTTTGCATGTTGTTAGATGCAATATATTTTTACATTTTCAGCTACATGTTTTGTTTCATTGTCCAATCAGTTGCTTTATTGAATATGAAAAAAATTGCACAAAAGTTACATCCAAGACTTACTTAGTGGATATAAAAAATATAGTAAAATATAGCGTGACACTACAGGACGGCAAATCCACCATGCATTAACAGTACATTGTGTTGTGCTGTAAATTTTTGTGATGGTACAGCAGGAGCCCGTAATATTTTCTGGTTGAGTAGCTGAATGACCCCTCTATGTGCTCAAGTTACTTGATGTAACACTGTAAATCCATGCCAATAATGTGCATATTGTATGTGACACTACAGGACGTGACACTGCATGACATTTTTCCACTTCGGAACAGCGGCCTTATCATCTCTTAAAATTCTGGTAATAAATCGTTAAACGGGTGAAGAAATGTCCTACAGCACTGCAAACATTCAAACTTTATTAACTTAAATTCAGTGCGTCTATTTCATAAGAAATAACTGTATCACACAATCAAACACTTTGTGTCACGAATCATCAGAAAATATGTCAATTATACCGAAATTTCTACATTTTAGGCCATTTTTTATATACCATCAAAAACCTGGGTGAAATTTTATCTTTTTGGGTAAAAAGAATGCAGTTTAATAAAATTCCAATGCCTTTTATATAAAAAATACAAAAAATTACTTTCACTGCACATTTAAAAAAATTTATGGAATTCAACTTTTGCTTGGAATGACCCTATTACGAACACCAATCATTAAAGATATATTTACTCAACATCATTGGTTTAAGAATGGAAGCAATTTATATACATTATAGATAAATAAGAGAGGGATATTTACACATTTCTGTATTTTTATAATGTATTATGGTTGTTATATCCAAGAAATATTATTGTATGTATATTTACATTTAAAATATTTTTGTTAATGATATTATGATAACATATTTGCAAGTAATTTTTTATGTGAAAGAGAGAATTGTATGTACATTGACTAATTGACAGTGAATACTGAATATGTTAAAACAAAACCATAATATGGTTTGGTCCACAATTGTAGCAAGCTTATTGTTTTTGAAACAGATTTGGTTTCAATGTATCGCTGTGTTTTCCCTTTATAATTCTAAAATTCATAGTTGGAAATAAGGATGCCCATATCTTAGAAGTTAGATTAGTTAAAGTTTAAATTTTAAGCTATTTTCCAAATTGTCCTATTTTTAATCAGGCAATGAGGAAAATTGACAATGTTTACTATACCTAACGTAATCTATGATTTTACTGTAAAGTTGGCACATTTAACTTGAATGTAATTTCGGTTACCAAAATATATTAAATTCTTATTCTATTTAAGAATAATATTTTTGATATCTCTAGAAAGTGACAGTGGTTCTCAAACTTTTTAAGCAGCGCCCCCCCCCCCCCCCCTTTAGAATTTGTCAAATCTCACGTACCACCTCGAAAATGACCAGCTAACAATAAGCCACGAATAACAGATAGTAAATCGAAGGTCTGTTTGGTTCAATAGACACGTTGAAAATACTAGGGGGGAGCGTGAATATGTGAATATCCAATATAAAGAAATGTGATTATCTAAAATGATTAATCTTAACAATTATTTTTGATTAGCTTCACCCCCAACCCCCCCCCCCCTTGTAGGGCGCATCCCACCATTTCAGAACCACTGGTATGAGCTTTATCTTCAACATGATTCACATACGAGTATATTATAATGCAATGATCAATTACCGTGAAAATGTCTGTGTTGGATGCGAAACAAATTTCAGCATTGTTATGGTTTTGCTATTATTATATAAAAACCATACAACGTTGAATAGTTTTTTTGAATGTCATGGTTTGTTAGTAATTTCAAAACCTTTATCCAATTTTCATTGGCTATATGTGTACATGCTTACACTAATATACACCGATTAACTCTAGAATTTTCCCGTTTCTGTTCGTTGCTTGGGAATGATTAGATAAAAAATAATTTGTAGCATTATGCCATAGTATAGAACAGCTTCCTTATCCATGCTTTATATATTTATGCTTAAATATGATATGTATAAATTACCATAAATATTTTCAACCATCTGTGGTTAAAAATGTACCTAAACAGAATTGCTGGTCAAATTTCTTAATAGTACATATTTGTTTAACTATATAATTAGCCCAAAAAGTGGAAATGAGAAAGATTGTACTTTGGATACTAGAGATGGAGAATCATACTCTCAACTTTGTTTCTTCCTATTTAATATTTTCATTACATTACTATTTTGCATTTATAGTTTGCCGAAATTGTGCTCTCTAATTGTGTTTGGTTCAGCTATTCTTATTTTTTATCAACAGTTACAAATTTTGTATGTTCAAAAATGGAATTCAATTTCTTAGTATGTTTAAGTATATGCGAAAATTCTATTCAGTCAGAATAATTCTGTTGAATAAAAATGAGTTTATTTTATTTACTTCGTAATTGAAATATCAGTTTTGAAAATTGAGCATCTTTGCACATAAGTTATAGACAGAAATGCCAAGAATTTATCCTTTTAGAGTTGTGCATCATGAATTTGAATTTTGCTAATTAGTGAAAATGTCAAACAATTTTTTCCATCATTGGAATTCTTTAACCTAATCTCTATCAACATATAGCCTATGTTTTTGCAGTGTTCCTCTGCTTTTCATTTGAGAGGGGGGGGAGGATATTTTGATATTAGTGATATAACTAATTGTAACCCATAGGAATTTGGTATACAACTGACTGATCATCTTGCACTGACATATACTATTCTATATGTCACTTTTGAGAATAAAAGTATAATGTCACATTTAGGAGAAGAGGTGTTTGAAATTGTAGCACTGGTGTTCGCCCTCCTTGTAGGGAAATAAATAGCTTTATGTATGCTAATTAAACAATTAGGAAAATGCTTGATTCATCCAGACATGAAGTTCCGTATTTACCAAAGGTATAAAATCTTCTCGCAAAGCAATTTAAATATGCTTTTGGAAAATGAATGTGATTTTTAATTTTTTGAAAATACGCATGCTCGAACAACAGTTTTCTGAATTTTGTCAGCTTGAAGGGAATTTCCTATCCATTGATATTGTAATTTTATTAATGATGAATTATATTTATCCATTAATTGTCATCCAGTCTACATTTCTTATTAGCTGTTGCTTTGTATATTATTTGCTAATTTATCTTCCTACTGTATGCATGGTTGTATTATTGTAGTCTGTTCCATCTTGCTTCACAACAAATCTATATAGAAAGAAATGTGTGTTTTGTGAATGACTTAGATTGATGGGCTTTTGTTATTTATATAGACTATAGAGAATCATGGGTCTTCCATATCTTAATAGTTATTTATCGTGATCAGTAAAGTGCTAATTTTGGACGGATTACCCTGTGTAAATTCGCCGGTTCAAATTTACATTCCTTTCCATGTCCAAACTGTTTTGGTGTACCTGGCTGGTTCACACTAAAAAACCCTTTACTCTGAATGAGCCAGGGGAAAAATATCCCACAGTTCTCAAACGCACTATTGCAGTAAAACTGCACTACTGCTGGTTTCTTGAATTTGGCTAGGCGGCTCTGTCAGTGCTTTGAAGCTGGACAGTTATTATCAAATACAATTATTGATCTGTCATGCAGTTCAATGTAGATGTTTGTGTTATGCTCTAAAACATGGTTGCGTAGACCAAAGTGACTATAAACCGATAGTCACTATAAACCAGGGTCGGCCAACCTTTTTGGTGGAAGGGCCACATGTGGTTCACTAATAATGGCACGGGCCACTTAACATGATAGTTATGTTCTAGTTTTGCTACACTGACTACAGGTTAATGAAAAAACAAACAATACCCTCACACCAAACTTTCACAATTATTAGAATAATGAAACTGTTGTTTCCCAACCATCGATGGGGCGCCATCAGTGGTTATTTTCAAAAGTTTTGCCGAAGACAAGCCAAGACGCTTGATTATTAATGGCTGTGGGCTCTTCGGTAATTTCATATCATTATTACCTCCCCGCAAGAAGATCGCCAAGTTGCCAACTGAGCAGTAAACTTGATGTCAATGCTTTCGCCAAGCGCCACGGAATACGATGAAAATTTTCCCGCTTTTTCAATTAAAGTTTCCGCTATAGACTTCCCAGGCTCTTCAACACGACGAGTTATGGTCTGTCTTGACAAGCTATTTTTGCAAAAACTTCTTTTATTTCCGGACGTAAAACATTGGCAACCCGAACAATACATAATATACATTTCTTCGATTGTTTTGCGATAACATCATATAGAGTAGTAAAAGACCAAGAGTGTAAGCGACCTTGGCATCTTTATGTATCGATATCTCCTCCCAGTTGATTTCGATTCAAAATGGCATTCATGGCTCGTTTGAAACGGCTGGCAGAGCGTTTTAAAAAAATAAAAAAATTGTTTGTATCACATCTTTACTCAATTTTTTTCATTCAATTCTGAAAAATACAGCGCGGGCCACTCTAAATGCACCGTGGCCCGCGGGCCACGGGTTGGACGACCCTGCTATAAACTATAGTCACTTTGGCGTAGACGTAACTATCGATTGCCTACGTTGCACTGGTTTGAAGTCTTGTCAAGCTGGTACATCAATGATAATGGAAATATTCGCACATCAAGTATTATCTACTTTCATTTAGTTCTCTCCAGCAAGACATTCAACTTTGCCGAATGACTCAAATACCGGCATATAAAAGGTGGAGTTACGGTTTTATTACTGAGTTTCCTAACAACACAAAATATATATACACAAGCTCAGTGGCGGCGCGTGGTTATTTTGACAACCGGGGCAAGCTACTGCGGGACCAAGTCACCCCCATCTACGGGGACAGGATGAGCGCTGTAAGTTCTCCCATCATTTTATGAGTATAAAAACCATTCCATCGGTAACAACCAATCGGCAAAAGCGACAATTTTTAACGATAAGAAAGTGTCTTTAAAACCGGTCCAAGTCAAGGGATTAATAAATATAGACATTAGACATAGTTTATTTTGAAACCTCTTTCAAAAGGAAAGGCAATATTTACCCAGATAAATACAATGACATATTAACAGAAACTTCGGGAAAGCAGACAAAACCTAAAATAAGGTTTAAAACGTTACTATGAAGAAAGGAAAGCTAATGCAAAGATAAGGACATGCTTCGCTCACTCATAGATATATATGCTGCTAGACTTCTACTGCTTGAACATATATGCACAACGCCGCGGTTTTTTGGAAGCAAAATGCTCAATAACGCGCTGATTAAAGTCATGCATCCCAGAAATAACGTCTCTGTGAATGGATAAAACAGCCAGGGAATTTAATCTATCTTGCTTCATTGTGTTTCTGAGATACGTTTTAATACGCTTCAGCGTGCTGAATGTTCGCTCTGCGTCGGCGGAAGAAATAGGCGTCGTCAAAATGATGTCCAGAAATTTTGCAGACGCCGCAAAGGTAGTTACTAGAGTGTTATCTATGAGGAACCCATAGAGCCCGCAAGTTGATGTGATGTTCAAAAAAGTTTGATTGGTGTATATACATCGCAATTCATTTTCCAATTTACCCACGTTTATCATGGGGTAAAGGTTCATCAAAAAGAACGCGGCAAGGTGTTCAGTGCGCAGACGATCGCCTATTTGATTCACCAGAATGTCACAGCATTCCTTTTCAGACAAAATCAAACGCTGCGTTGTTTGCCCGCGGCGTAAAGAAGCACTCCATGTGTCGTCGTATTTTATTGTTTCCCGGATACGAGATACAGCATCGCAGAAGTCTGAAATACACGACTGCACAGACGCTCCATCCATTAGCCTTGACTGCAATGCGCCGTATAATACATCCACGTGATAGAATATTGTGGAGAAAAAAGCGAGAAAAAATGAAAACTCACCATCTTCTAGCAGACGCTTCAGACCTGCCGCCTCCCTCACAGAGCGTTCGTCCGAAACCGGAGAGCTCTGAATGCCATTGAAACACTCAATGAGCTCAGACCTAATTTCGGACACGCCCTGCACCACGCGTGATTGGAAGTTCCAACGTGTTGGTGCACAAGCTGGGAGACGGCGGCTACATATCTGGCGAAGGAGGTCAGAGCGCTTCGGCGAAACGGAAAAAAATGAAATCTCTCGGTAGGTTTACCATCTTTCACAAACCGAAAAATCACAGCCAGTTGGGAAACGCACGTGATGTCAGTTGTCTCGTCAGACTGAATCGAAAGGAACTGGCAATTCTGAATTTCCAGAGCCAAATCCCAGAGTCCCTTTCGAAACAGTTGCGGCATCAAGATGATCTCTCAATACTGTATCTAGGGATGCGGTGTATTCCACCATATCCAAAAATATCCCTCTATTAGAAGAGCCAGCCCGTTCATCGTGCCCGCGGAGGGACAGCTCGTGACAACCAATGAACTTCAAAACATCTATCAATCGACCGAGAACATGGCGGTTTTCTCGACGTTTTGGTTGTGCCGACGAATAGAAACCGCGCGTCCTTCATCCAACTGTTCTGCAATATTAACATTTCCGAATGTTCGGTATTTTACTGCATTGTCCAGATGCTCCATAGAAGATTGATGATTCCTGGCACGCCCGGAAAGATGTTTAAGATCTCTAAAACCAAATTTACACCAACGTGAGTCACGGGCGGTAGCAAAAAGTAGGCAATAAAAACAAAAAAGTGCATTTTTGTCCTCGCTGTAACACAACCATTCGTGTTTTTTATACCAAGTTTCTGCGCAGAATGTACGCCGACGCTTTCCTCCGTCATGGGATTGTTCCAGTGAACAATTTTTTGGTTGATAAGGCCCAAGACGTTGTACCTCTAATTTTTATTCCAGCGGCAGCTGTGAAAACGGAGTGCGAAGTAGTGCATCAACCTTATTCTTTATGAGGTCTAAGGCTAAGAAATGCGAAGCCGGAAAGAAGTGAGGAGCTCAAAAGGAATGTGGAAAATCGAAAGCAAATGGACTAAAGGTCTCTAACTGATTCAAATAGCGAAACAAGCGACAAAAACGAAGGCGAGGAAACTATCAACTCTTCAAGCAACCAACGAACGAGAAGGAATGCGTGAATATGTCAACACGTTGTTGTAAGAAACGTCGGCATTGTGTCGTCATAATTTCGGGGCTAGCCCCGATGATTTAGTAAAAGAAACAGAAAACAAACGAGACAAACGCGGCGAGTGGAAGATAAAAGAGAGAAAATACGATATACAATGAGCAACCGTGGCAAAATCGGCGTCGCCCCGTCGACGTTCGGCGAAGGCTTTGCGAGCGAAAAATGAACCATGTCGGGAGAATATGGCTAGTGTAGACAGTCTGTGCAACCGATATTGAGGTATTTTTCGAATATTTTTTATTATACCGAAAAAACAACCGGGGCATTGCCCCGGTTGGCACTATTGACGCGCCGCCACTGCACAAGCTGATCAAAAAGAATGCTAATCACTCACTATGACACCAATTGGAAGATTCAATTTGAAGCAAAATGCCAAAGAAAAAACACATAGAAGTAAAAAAAAAAAAAAAATTTATGCTGTTGTTCATTGTTATGTAATATTAACGGGATGGCAATACACTGACCCGCCGGTTACGAAGTAATCATACTAACTTTTCAGTGTTGAATATTGATAATAAACCAGCCTATAACAAACGAACAATAGGAGAACTACTATAATATACTGGGTACAATGCTATTACGTGTTCATGTCATAACAATACATTTAATCTATTCTTTTCTCTGTTACAGCGGTTGCCTCTTTGAATTGCATCGAACCAAAGGGGGCCCCAAAATGTTTCTGGACTAAATTCAGTCTATGAAAAATAAATATTACAAAATAGAATAGAGAAAGAATGTGGACCATTTATGTTGCAAATAGTCAGGTTACTATTTCATGCTTGGTATTATACTATATATTACCTGCAGAATGCATTTTGTTTATAACAGATCAAAAGAATGATTTTGTTTTCACAAGTGGTAAGTGTATGTCACCTCGTTTTCAAAACCACCATGTTTCAAAACATTGTTAAAGTTTGCTCTTTGTTTTGAAACGTCTTTTAAAATAGATTATATCTGATCTTGTTTTTAGCCTCTTGTTTTGTAAAACGTTTTCAGATTAACCTAGACAAAGTTCCTCTGCTCGATCAATAGAAGCCCAGGTGATAGTGTCAGGCGAAAACTAAAAGACTTGTACTTGCAGTGTGATAGGTAAAATATCATACAAGTGAACTTTGTTATTCAAACTGAATAGGCCGCGAGAC